ATTTTATCATCTAAAAATGGGCGTATTTTCATTTTTAATTTCCCTACTGAAGATCGAGCTATGAAATTATTCACGAAAGGATCTTAGATAATAAAAACTGTTCATGACAACATGAAATTATTGTCGCACCCGGAGGGGGTCTCAAAGAGTCTCACCCTCTTCCCTTAAATTAATGTTCCGAAACAACGATAAGTCATTCAATTGTTAACGTGATAAATATGAAGTGTAAGTTAACAAATAGCTAGTGATGCATCAGCACATACTTTCTCGCGATATTGTTAATGGCTATGTAATTTTATAAAATGACAATTTCTGTCTTAAACTGTAACTACCATTTGTACAATTCTTCAAGAAAGGAAGCGGGAAAAATATATACAATTTTTAAATTCAAATGCTTAAACGAAAACAGCTTTCATTGAAATCGGTGTATTCTCGTTCTACGTGAAAGTACCAACGAATCACGATGCTAATTTTTCGCGTAATAAAATTACTAATTTATATTAACGCGAAAGAAGAGGCAACAGTCATTTTCGACTTGTTATCAATGCGACATTACAACAATGAATTACTAGCAACAATAACCGCTAACTCGTATGGGATTCACATTTTACCAATTAGCATTGTTGATAACGCTAGAAAGAAAATGAAAATAGAAAAATATAACAATTAAATATAATAATTTTATATTCATTAAAATTACTTGGATAGTGCATGCATTACTTTTTATTACCACATCTTATTAAGGAAAACGAAATCATCTATTCCTTTTCACATTTAACGCAATTAAAGGACACGATCTATAATAGGTTTGAAATCATTTCTGAAAGATTAATTTTAAAACTTATAACAAAAGCTCAAAGAAGAAACAAATAAAGAAATATGAAACGATACACAAATTCTGACTTACGTAGCATTCAACTGCTTCAAACCTTTAAAATTACGTTCACGAGGCTCATGAAATAAGGGGCAAGCGTGTTTGACGCGAAATTACTAAAAAAAATTTTCATATTGTCGTAAAATTCAACATAACCTTATATGAATGACTGTTTTTGATGAACACATTTCATTTAGAATAAAATATTCATCTTCATAATTATAGTTGTTGGAAGACGCCGAATTTTTTTGAACTTTTTCCATTTTTGAAAAATTAGGCTTCTCAACCAACATGAGAGACCTGCACCATTCTCTTAAATGTATCCACGTATAAAATTTCATTAAAAACGATGGAACCGTTTTTGAAGAAAAAATGATTTAAATAAAAATTAAAAATTGCCTAAATTTCACGCGAAATTACGCGAAAAGTATTCAAATTTTCAAAAAAATTGCACATGACCTTATTTCGAAATTATTTTTAAGAAGCAAATTTTATTAAAGGAAAAAGATCTTTAACATTTTAGGTGTAAGAAGACGCACCATCATGTAAAACGTCCTTTACATCCAACAACAAAATTTAATTAAAAACGAAGAACTTTTTTTTTTTTTAAATGTTTAAAAATGTCCCAGGGGTTTGAAGTAAAGTAGCCCCAAGAATTATAATATCAATTTCAAATTCATCTGTCAGATCGATTGGAGAATATCAATTTTGGGGAAAATCGGCAGAACGGTTTAGCCGCTAGCGGTGTTCACAGATGGACAGAAGTTCACAGAAAACAGAAGTCACACAAAACAGGGATTCTGGTTATACCACGTGTTAGAGGATTTTTTTCTTCTAAATTTAGTATCTGGATTCGTCCACTAGGGTTCTCTAATAAGAGTTTTTCAGCCGGAAATTCGCAGTTTTTTGGCGCAGCACTTTCTCAAGTTCCTTCTTACGCGCAAGAAAGTAAAAATATAATTTATAGTTTGTGTAAATTAGATATTGTTTATAAATAAACAAGTCGGCTGAACATCTATGCCTCTCCCCACCCCCGAACTAAAAAACAAAAACAAAAACAAAATACGTGTTAACAAGATTATTTCTTGAGACCGATCGTAAGCGTAGCTACCTTCACGTAGGCAAAGAAGCGCAAAATTATTTCCTCTTTCTGACTCGATTTTACGAACTCTTTTATCTATCCTGTTCTGACAATTCATTATCTTTTTACCGTTGTCTCTTATCTTATACCTCAAAACATCGTTATCTATTTGTAAACTGCAAGATTTTGCTCCCTAATTAATACTGCTATGACCAGGTTATGAGTCATGTTCAGAAAGGAAAGGAAGTAGTAGTAGTAACAGCAAAATTATTGTCCGTCATTTTCAGTTAAGAAGAAAATATTTTTTGTCATTTTTCTATAGTTTTTTCATTTGACCATATTTTTTCTTTGTTAGTAGTTGATTTTCCTGAGTCCAATAACAAAAACAATAGGCTATTCGCCGTTTTTTGTTCTGTGTATTTTCCAGGAATGTCACGTTTCTAGTACTAATTGAGTGTCGCGCAAACTGATTTAGTCGATCAGACATCATTATTATGAAATTATACATGGAAAACAGTATTCTTCCATGTAACAAAATACTGTGGCACGGCAATCGCTCATTTGCGAAGGGGATGATAACAAGGGCATAACACGACAATGCTATTATTATTTTTTCGTAATACAAGTAATAACGAATTAATATTTAGTAATTGTACAAAGGAACATTCAAATTTACTTTATCTAAGGAAGTCGGTCACTAGTAATTGTTTCCGCAGAGTTGAAAAATCGCATTTGGGATCGGAGTTTTTAAGGTCGTTTGTCAGACAATGAAGATTCAACTTGCATTTCCAATTCAATGTAGACATGCATTTTTATTTAATATCATAATTTATCATCGAAAAAATGAAAATAAACTTAAATAAATTTTGCTGAAAATCTCTTCAGGACTTTTCTCTTTCAGACGTAATTTAGTAATTATATCATGTCAGACTTTTGAAGACTGCCTAGTGAGGTCAGTCTAAAGGTTAAGGCAATTTTAAATCATTACAACTACATTTTTACTTTCATATGTTAAAAAACTGATACATATATTTTCAAGTTATTATTTTGCACCTTTACATGTTTGAAAAATTATTTGCTTATACTGTGCCTTAAAAAAGATAGGGAAGTTATGAAATTTTATTGTCATTTGTTCTATATACTTTTACCAATTGAAAGGAAGAAAGAAAATATGACTTGAAACTGCAAGATTTTTTAACTTTATGAAGTAAAGTTACAAAAACCAATTCACCACAGAGTAAACTAAAAATGATTTTTAATGAGAACATGGAAACTTTAAGTGTTTTATACCTTTCAGTTTATTATTATAGAGCAAATAATATATTCAAACTATAATGATAATTTTTTAGTATGTGGTCATATTTACATACAATGAAGATTTTTTAACAGAAAATCAAAGTCTAGATGCTTATGATATTGAAGAAATGAGTTTAAGAGTTATTTCTGAAGGATATATGGATTTAAGGAAATAATTGTAATAAAAGCCTTCATAAAATCCATTGGCTTGTTTGGAACTAAATTATATTTCTTAAGCACACTTAGAAATTACAAGGTCATTAATGTGAATTACTTATGTAACAACAAGTGTTAACAATATACTTTCATATCAAATGAAGAAACAATATTGAACATGTTAAAAATTGCAAAAGAATTACCTGAAAAGTGGAACAGCATGATGGTACAGATGGGTAGGTATGTGTATATGACAATTGTTGCTATCATACACAATAATCTTTATATCAATGTACATAGTATTATGTACTTTATACAGAGAAGTATAAATTGATGCCATATTATTAGTACATTATCATTACAGATCTTCCTAAACATTAAAAAAACCCAAGGACTATACATTAAATACAAAAATCATGCAATTCATTTAATATTTTTTTAAAAAGTCTGTAAAATGTACTGTTTTCTACAACAGAAATGTAGCACTTTTGCACCAAGCATGCATTGAAGAACAAGGCCATTCACAGTCCATCATTGGAAAGATTCAAAAGGAAGAAGTTCCCACACATTCTTATGCAAAGTGTGCATTCAGTCCAAAATTAATATGGCACATACTGAGTTTAACAGCAATGAAATTTTAAATTACTACTGGCTAGATATAGTAGTCAATGTGTCTTCATTTTAGAAAGAATGTGAATCAGTTAAAAAAAAGTGGAGACACACATATCGTATTAAGGTACATA